TTTTTTTTTTTAATACAAACGCCCCCGTCAGTGTTAGTGCTGCTGATAAGAGCAGACACCACTAACACCTGGGGAGAGGCTCCATCTATTGGTGGGGAGCATCACCTGCTGGAAAACGGGTCCAGCGTCCCTTATACAGAAAAGGAGGATGTCTGAGGACGCTGATTGTGAGACCTGCCAACATTGATTGCCCTGTCTCCAGGGGATTTATTGAGCAGGTGTGTATAGATCCTAGTGATGTAGCCCTTGCTTCCCGTATCTCTTCACCCCCAAAGGGGCGCCAGATTTAAGTGCTTCATCTGTCTGTTTGTGACTTTTTCCTTTATATCTAACCTTGGCTCCAGATGGGAGCATCATGATGTGACCAGCCAATGCGGGGTAGGGAGACACCTGTACATGGTCTCCCAATCCCGGGGTAGGGAGACACCTGTTACATGCTCTCCCAATCCGGGGTAGGGAGACACCTGTACATGCTCTGCCATTGCAGTGCGCAATGTGCATTGGGAGGTCGGCAGAAGTTTGGCTTACATTGATCAGTGGAAGGAGTCACGATCCTCGGCCGCCAGGGAGGACTCCTTGGCCCATCTTGCTTTAACGGTGTTTTTGAGAGGGGTGTATCTCGTGGCAGTATCTGTACCCTTCCTTGACTTTTTTTTTTTTTTTTTTTTCATCCTTGCGCAGGGGCCATGATAATCTTCTCTGTATCGTTCCAATTTTAACGGATGTCCTCGTGGCAGTATCTGTACCCTTCCTTGACTTAAAATTGCCCGAGGGCGATTTTTTTTTTTTTTTTTTTTTTTACCAGTGCCCAAGGCTCAAATTATCAAGTGAAAATACAACGCAAACACACACGCCTCTTCCCATTAGGGCTGGATGTCGGTGGACGAGCCTCAGCAACTGCTGCTGTGGAGGCAATCTTTTGTCCTTATCCTTTGCCGTGCCAGCTCCCTTCATCACTGAATCATCAGGGTCAAGGGCGAGGGAGGTCGAAGATATATTACTGGCATACACCCCTCCCCTGATGACCATCTCCCAGACTCCCACCACTCGTACTCGGACCATCTGGGCCCAACTTAGTCAACAAACTTTCCGCGAAGCTTTCAAGGTCGCTACCGTTTCGTCCCTCTTGCAGGGCTGGTGTAGTAGACCTTTTTTTTTTTTTTTTTTTTTTTTTTTTTAAGTGCCGCCTTCGGTGCTAGTGGTGCTGATAAAAGCAGACACCGCTAGCACCTGTGGAGAGGCTCCATCTATTGGTGGGGAGCATCACCTGCTGGAAAGCGGGTCCAGCGTCCCATTTACAGAATGGCCTTCGATGGTAGACCTGGGTTCCGTGCATTTAAAATTTCTATTCATAATAATGTTTGCATTTATCATAATCATATACTAGTACATTTACTGATGTGTGTGTTCTAAAAGGGAGGGAAAACAACAAAAGAAAAAGTCAAGAAAAGACAAGATGAATGTGGCAGATGTGCTCCCCAAGAATAGATTGGCGCATGTCCCTTTCAAAAAAAAAAAAAAAAAAAAAGTGGCAGCTGTGGTACTTACCACTTTAGTCTCATGTGCCTGCCATCGCTGGGTCCGGGTCAAACGAAACCGCGCTCGCGCAGAAGTGTCTTCCTTGCTCGACCTTCTCGAAATGTGGCCGCCTTGGCTGGAGCCACTACCCATGGACCATACTTGCACGTAACCTTGGCTGCAAGATGTGAATAGTGTCTGCAATTACCCAGCCAATTCACCATGATGATGATGACGATGATGATGATGCTTCACAAAACTCACCTGAGTGCTTAATCTGACGTTTCATTAAATTTGAAATATTTTGCTCGTGCAACGAAATTGGACACAAGCATTCTTTTGTTGTCACTTGTGACACTTCCAGTCTGAGATGCTTGGGTTCCTTGATTGCAGGTGGTATGCCTTAACTCTAAGTTAGCAACACGAAAATAGAAAAAACAAACAAAAAGAGGGAAAGAAATCCTCGATCAATTTGGTCGCGCGAGCAAAATATTTCAAACTAAATTTAACGAAAAGTCAGTTCTATAATTCATGAATCAGTTCCAGCAGGTGACGCTCCCCACCAATAGATTGAGCACCATGGTAAAAAAAAAAAAAAAAAGAATCAGTGGTTAATACTGGTTATGTATAAAAAGGCCGAGTGATTATAACTGACATTTCATTAAAACTGGCATTGTTTTTTCAGAATCTTCTTCTAAATTCACGAAATTGAGCGTAAGATTTTTTTTGTCCCCATGAAGTCCGACCATCTGATGGTCGGGCGTCGTGACGAAACCCGATGATCGGACCCTCGGATGTATTGTGAGGAATTTGTGACGGTACTTTACGTTCAGATACATCAGACCGTAAAAAAACTTGAAAAAAGTGAGATAACCACTTTCTCACCCAGTCAGCAATGAAATTTTGACCAAGTCCACTTTCCTGAATTTAGAAAAAAAAATGTCAGTTTCAACGAAATGTCAGTTTTATACTTTTTAACAAATCAGATTCCCCTGAGTGGTTTTACTTAAACCACCAGTACTTGGGCACTGTGCGCCGCGCCGGCCGCCCAAATCTCGAAACAGCGCGGGCTGTCGATTCGATTTATCGACGGCCCGCCAGCCGCGGAAATAGCGTAGCATTAACGCTAAGGCGTCGCCCAAGTACTGGTGGTTTAACAAATCACCTGAGGGGTTACCTATACATAATACAGATCACACTGAGAATCAGTGGATGTTGATGTGATCCTCCGATGAACTAATGAGGGGAATTTACGGAAATGGCCTCCAGCTTAGGCTGGCAAGAGACAAAAATAACCCGGTCCGAATGCAACTGATCTCTGCATTGTGAAGGGGAATGGTCTGCAGTGGGCCCACTCCAGAAGTGCCCTTAAAGGCTGCTTTTTTTTTTTTTTTTTTCCGCTCAGGAGGCCCCTGCTACCCGGTCTCATTGTTTCCTAGTGCATCCCCTACTCCCCAGCCTTGAGGCGCATTCAGGACCGCCTACGGATATACTGGAGAGCAGTTGCAAGCACCGGCACTAGGCATGCAACCCATGAAGCCTCAAGGCTTGAAAGGCACAGCGGACGGGCCTTGTTGCACGGACACTTTGGACACGAGCATAACCACTTATAGTGTACCTGCCCCTGAGCTAACACGGACTATCCCCCCCTGAGATCACACATAGTACTCGAGCTACCACACACAGTGTCTAATAGCCCCCACCAGGCCAAGGTCTAACTTGCGACTGCCCAGGGCCTACCCTACGTACACCCACTTACAGCAGCCATCATGACCTATGTACATACAACACATAGTTCATATTTATCCGTAAACTGCCATTTCGTCAAAATGGACATCTTTTATTTTTTGAACGAAATTGAAACTGAGTTTTTTGGCCGAAAACTCGTCAAATTTGTTGTTCCCGAGGGTCCACCGTTTTACAAACGCTGGACCCCCTGGCTGTACATGGACCTAGCTTGAGACCAGGTACCTCCAGCCAGCCCTGCCTGGAGGTGCCTGGTCTCAAGCGAGGTCCATGTACAGCCTTTGACGACTTTTCGGCCAAAAAACTCAGTTTCAATTTCGTTCAAAAAAATAAAAAATGTCCATTTTGACAAAATGGTGTACTTAGTACTTACCTTGTGTATTGTCCGTAGACCAGGACGGCTACAGACTCTACAGACTCCTGTAGCCTATTTTGCTGTTTATATCATATGACATTGTGCTCGCAGCCTCGCACAGATCGTACCAATCAGTCAACCAATCCCCTTCTAGAGTCGACATGCACCCCCCTCCCCCTTGACCTACCCTCCCACCCGCTAGAACCATCACTCCCCTAATCTTCTTCCTGGTTCCAAGTAGGACAAGCACCATCTGCTCTTTTTTATTTTATATATATATATATATAATATTATATATATATATATATATAACAACTGGTGTGGGTGAGTGATAGTCTACTTTGATTTTGGTTAAGGTAGATTATCATTTACAGTGTAATCAGTGAGGGGATTCTGTAGACTGTTGAGGGTTCAGCCTCCTGATGAGTCG